GTATCCAGTTTCCGACACAACAAGCCGAAACCGAAAAGTGATTTCCCAAAGGAAGTGCAAGATTTGTTGATCTTTGATGAAGATGACGATTAAGTAGTAAGGATAATGCTAGTGTTATAAAAGACTAAGAGTGAAAGTAGTATTTTTAAGACACCATTATTTTTCTTAATAAAATTAGCTTAACTGAAACCAAAATGAACCACTTTTGAAAAAAAAATCGATAAAAAACATATAAACTGAATGGATACCCTTCCCAATCCTTTTGTAACATGTCTATTTACTTCTGAATTTCTAATCACCATGGTCCTCCATACCGGTCATTTTATATTAACTCTCGTATGTCCAAATTTTTTATTTGATTCTATATAATTTCTTTCGATAGGCCTTCATGAAAATATGAACAATTGACATATTTTTTTTGATCTAGATCAATTCGGCTGGTCTAGAGCAGTTTTCGTAAAAAAAGATTTGTTTTTTTTTAATTTCTTGCATACTATAGCACAGGTTTTCACCAAATTTTGCCAGTTGCGTCTAGAATTAATGAGCGAATTCTGGTAAATTAAAATTTACTTTTTACAGACAAAATCTGAAAAATAATAATTTTTCAGAAAATCATCGAATATTTGTTTTCATCATAACTTAGCAGAAAGGTTTTGCATCGGATTATCTTGAAATGTTCATGGAAATGATAGATAAACAATGTATCTTTCTAACCATGTGCACACCATTTGGTAGAAAATTCAATATGTTTGGTCCCAGCAGTTTAAGCGTACCTTGCCAAAAAGCAGGCTTGGGTGTTACAGGGTTAAAATATGTTTTTAACCCCTTGGGGCAACTAGGGGCAAGTCGGGATGCATAAATTCAAAAAGTTGAGGAAATTTCCTATAGAATGTATATCATGTGACCTTTTCGGACTGTTTCAGAAGATTGTACAGTACGAATTTGCAAAAAAAATAAGGTTTCATCATACCACTAACCATACATTATCAACATTTTCCATAGTTTAGAGTAATCTAAACGGATGGGTTTGAATGGAACAATAAGTTTATCCATCAAACTTCAAAATGAAACTTGTTGTGCTCAAATCGGTTTAAAATTGGAAGAGTAACAGCCATTTGAAGTGAGCCTTAAAAATGTAGTTTTTGAACCAAAAATCATTAAAATTTGTTGACACCGCAGCCTTCAAAGTGCTGTCAAAATTCAAAATAACATCCAATAGTCATGAAACTTTGCGACAACGTTATTCAAAGTGTAAGAAAGCTTGGAAAATTATAAAATACTCAAAATAACAAAAAAAAAATTTTGGGTTTCGTCCGGCCTCCGGCCACTGTGAGACGTCGCGAAGAGACGCTTGTTGAACTTATTCAATCAATTTCTAGAGCACAACATTGTTCCGGATGACTGGAGGCAAGTAAGAGTTATCGCCAATCGAAAACCCGGTAATCCCGCGATGGATTATAACTCATACCGTCCAATCGCGATGCTGTCCTGTATACGGAAATTGTTGGAGAAAATGATTCAATTTTCGACAAATGGGTCGAGTCGAATGGTTTACTTTCAGATAGGCAATTTGGATTTCGGAGAGGCAACTGTCTTGCGTTGCTTTCAACTGAAATTCAACTGGCCTATGCGCAAAAACAGCAAATGGGTTCAGTTTTCTTGGACATTAAGGGGGCTTTTGATTCTGTTTGTATCGATGTCCTTTCGGATAAACTCTACGATAGTGGGCTTTCACCAATTATGAACAACTATTTGAGCAACTTGTTGTCTGAGAAATATATGAGCTTCTCTCATGGAAACTCGACAACTTCACGAATTAGTTACATGGGTCTCCCCAGGGTTCATGTTTAAGCCCCCTTCTTTATAATTTTTATGTAAAAGTCATTGATGGTTGTCTTGATGAAAATTGCTCGCTAAGGCAATCTGCAGATGATGGCGTTGTTTCCGTCACCGGGCCAAATGCACCGGACCTGCAAGGACCATTGCAAGATACCTTAGACAATTTGTCTACTTGGGCTATGAAGCTAGATATCGAATTCTCTCCGGAGAAAACTGAGCTGGTTGTTTTTTCTAGGAAGCATCATCCTGCACAGTTACAGCTTCAACTAAAGGGTAGAACAATCACTCAAAGTATATCTTTCAAGTATTTAGGCGTCTGGTTCGATTCCAAAAGCACGTGGGGAAAACATATTGCGTATGTCAAACAAAAATGCCAACAAAGAATCATTTTTTTTCGTACAATTACTGGAACTTGGTGGGGCGCACACCCGGAAGATCTGATCAGGTTGTATCGAACAACCATCTTGTCGGTTCTAGAGTACGGTAGCTTCTGCTTTCAATCCGCGGCGAAAACACATATCTTGAAGCTGCAACGGGTTCAATACCGTTGCCACCGAATCGCGCTTGGCTGTATGCACGCGACGCATACGATGAGCCTCGAAGTACTCGCGGGTGTTCTCCCACTGACAGATCGTTTCGCGGAACTATCCTTCCGGTTTCTTATCCGTTGTGAAGTAATGAACCCATTGGTAATAGAAAACTTAGAGAAGCTGCTCGACAGAAATCATCAAACAAGATTCATGAGTCTCTATTACGAGTACATGACGCTGGAGATTGGCCCTCCTTCATTCAATTCCTCTCGTGTTTGCCTCCAAGACTTTTATAGTTCCTCTGTAAATTTTGATCTGACCATGTTGCAAGAAATCCGTGAAATACCAGATCACCATCGGTCGATGGTTGTTCCCTTAATTTTTGTAAACAAGTACCACCATGTCAGTAACAATAAAAGTATTTTCGCAGATGGATCAACTATAAACGCTTCCACTGGATTTGGAGTATTCAACGAATTTCATAGCGCCTCATATCAACTGCAAAAACCCTGTTCCGTATACGTTGCGGAACTAGCAGCCATATTCTACGCAGTAGAGCAAATTGCCTCACTACCATCTGATTATTTTATTTTTACTGATAGCCTTAGCTCGTTGGAGGCTATTCGATCAATGAGGCCGATGAAGCACTCCTCGTATTTCCTGAGCGAAATCCGAGCTAAATTGAGTACTGTATCTAATTGCTCCTATACTATCACCTTAGTTTGGGTCCCATCTCATTGCTCAATTCCGGGTAATGAGAAAGCGGACTCGCTAGCTAAGGTGGGCGCTATGGAAGGCGATATTTTTGATCGACAAATCGCCTTTGCGGAATTTTTGTCAGCACGTCCTCACCAACTGGCAACAAAAATGGAATGAGAGTGATCTGGGAAGATGGTTGCATTCTATTCTCCCACAGGTATCGAACAAGCCATGGTGACTTTATACGTGTCATGTCAAGGCTCATGTCTAATCACTACTCGTTAGACTCGCATTTCTTCCGAATCGGGCTCGCAGGCAGCAATTTGTGCGCTTGTGGTAGTGGCTATCACGATATCGACCACGTGCTTTGGTCATGCACCCTCCATTGTGTTGCTGGATCCGAGTTATCCGCATACCTCAGGGCCCGAGGAAAACAACCTTTACGGCCCGTTAGAGACATCTTGGCGAGCCGAGATCTCGATTATTTTAATTTAATTTATGTTTTTTTAAAACGGATCGATCTGAGAATTTAGAAGTTTGTGACAACTTGTGTTCTCTCAAGCTGCTAGGTCTCCATCGGTGTACCCCCATGAATCGCTTAATTCTAGATCAAGAGCACATTGCTCTCCAAACCTTGTGTTCTCAATCCCTACCCTGCCATCCATTTGTTACCCCTAACCTCGAGATAGCCGCGAGTAATCGGCCCCCGCTTTATTAACGTTAGTTTTAAGTAATTTTGTAACTCAAACGATGGATATCGGCTTCGCAAAGCTACGGCAAATGAGCTTGGAAAAATAAACGCATTAAAAAAAACATTTATATACAACTATTTATTTTCAAAATTATTGGAGGTGGCACTCTTGCCCCACCTTAAATGTAATAGCTTTTCTTTCTCTTTTTATATTATTAACTTGTATGATTTATTGTTTCAAGTTTTTAATGTCCCTGAGCGGTGGGCCCCCTAGTTTTAGCCCACCATCGCCCTACCGTTAATACGGCACTAGAGATCTCCAAGAAATCCAAGAACTCCAAGAAATTCTCATAAATTACGAAATCCCCCAGCTCATCAAGAGCTGCAAAACCTTTTAAAACTCTGGAAGTTCAGCATTAGATTGCACGCATTGCGGCAAAGTGACAGCTAAATCTATTGTCAAACTGTTAAATTTACGTCAACGCAACGCAAACGGATCTAATGTGGGTGGCCCTTTAGAGTTTTTAGAAACATCGTAGAATTCTGATAGTACAAAGACTTTTTAAACTTCCAAACTCCAGAACCTGTGAAACTTTTGAAACATTGAAAATAGCGAGAATTACAGATCAACTCCAGGATCTTTGAACTATGTTAAACAAAAACAGGCGGTCAATAATATAATGAAAATCTCTTATTATAAGCATAGATATTGATTATAGAATTATAAAAGGTAGGCGGCCTGCATCAATCGACAATAATTCTAAAAATAATTCGATTGTCACTAAATCTAATATTAAATATTTGATCGATATTTCACCCTCCAACTATAAGCAGGGCAGCTTTATGGCATCAATTTGCCAGAGTGGCAGTAATAAATGTAATCATTTCTGCAAAGGCGCTTCATTACTAATTTTTACGGATTTTATTTTTAATTTTCAGTCAATGGGTAGCTCAAAACGTTACCGATGCATGCGTTTTAAAACATAAACAGCAACACAACATGAGTCATTAAAATTCCCGTCTGTCGCCTCATTATTGCGGTGTCGAGTGAACACCTGATTGTAATTTCCTACCCCATCCGGACCGTTCTACCGGCCTCTTTATCTATACATATATATCGAAAAACAACAGCACAGCATATAATCAGTCTTACATAATTTTCCAAATGGGACACCATCCAGCTCCAAAGCAAAACCATGTTTTGCGATTTACATGCCAAAATAAAGACCACCTTGACCTACCTTGTAATTATCGAACCCCGTGAGGTGTTCCTTGGTGAGATATCCACTAGCCATGATGGTCGATTATGTCTACAACTTCCGTACACCGGACAATCCAGCTTCCCAGCGATCACGTTCCCAGTGCGCTCTCTATAGTCCCCCTTTAATGCTAAGGGTTTTTAAACTTTTGTCACTTCCGTTCCGTCGAGCGACGACAGGCGCAGTCGGGTAAGACGCAGAAACGCGCGTGGGCGACGGAGGGCAGGTTGACTGACGACAGGAATGGAAGGGAAAAAGGATTCCGCAGAATGCGAACGCCGGGGCCGAGGTCGGTCCCTTCTCACTCTACCAACCTGCACTGCACTAGTCTTCTTTTCGCGAATGAATAGAACATCTGTCGGGTGACCGGTAACGTTCACTTGTCGCACTTGATGTTAATTGAATTATTGGAGAACATACTACCACTTTTCACACAATAGTAGTTATTTGAATTATTATCACGGGAGAAAAACGTTCAATCGCACGCACGCAAATCCGCACCGCAGCAGAGCATACAATCGTTGGGATTTTTCCTGGCTTTTGCTGCCAACTGACAGTTTCGTTATTTTTATGGTGTGCGTGGTGCAGCGTTCACCAGGGTGACCAGACTGTGGTCGCCCTTTAAACCGGTGCAGCTACACCGCAAAAAAAACGAAAAACGGTCATTCAAAAATATTACAAAACGAATATAGATTAAATTTTATGCATTTTATGGTTTTTCAAAATTTATACATTGGTTCGATTAAAATTTTCGTCAAAATTATACTAAGTCCGAATAACAGAGTGGAATTCGATCAGTGTTTACTAAAATGACAGGAATAAGAACATCTGGATTTCCTTCGGAGCTTCGTGCTGGTGAAGGGCTTTGTCCCAGCGGATTTCTACTGAGCCTGTAATCTGCTGGGCAGCATCGAAATTGTAAGTATTTTTTTTTTAATATTATTAATAAAAAAAATAAACTAATGAAAAAAGCTTCCTGAGACAATTTTTATTTTCATTTGAAAACAATAATATTTACCATGAATAAAATAAAGAAGCGAAAAATACATTCTCTTGAATAAACCGTATCTATGCATTGTAAGCAGGGTTGCTTCCACTCACTTGCTATAAAAAAATATTATTCGTAATTATGCAATCATTAGATGCAATAATGCCATGTTGTACTTGTAAGTAACAAGAAGAGATAGTAAAGTATGTGCTTGACTCATAAAACCTGTCAATTTCGCTTTGAGAGCGTCACAATTAGCGATCTTATGATTCGTGAGCGTTCACTCAGAGTGAGCGCTCACGAGTCGTAAAATCGCTGATTGTGACGCACTGAAAGCAATATTGACAGATTTTATGTGTCAAACATATATTTCATGACCTCTTCTTGTAACTTATTAGTACTAATTAGCATTATACTATAGCATGATTTCATAATTCCGAAAAACATTTTTTTATAGCAAGTGAGTGGAAGTAACCCTGATTGTAAGTATGTTTCGATTTTATACTACGGCACGCATAAACCATTTTTATACTAAGTTTGCATTCTCTCCCTTTATACCGACCTTTGCGTCGGTACGGAGAGTTGCTATTTAGCGTAACTTTTATACTATTTAGATTTCAATATTTTTTGAGTGGACAATAGAGATTAGTGACGTTTAACGCACGCACACTAGCGTGCAATTATTATGAGAGTACATGACAATTATCTCGAATGTCAACACTTTTATTTGGAAAGTATTTATTTGATCCTACAAAATAAGCAGATTTTTACATTAAACACGAAATGCTTTGGATTTTAAATTTAAAAAGTTTGGACGAGAGGAGCACCTTTTAAAATTAAATTATGACCAAGCTCTTGATGTGAATGTTACTAAACATTTGCAGGGAAAGCTATGAACTCTCTATCAAAAAGAACTAATGCGTACTCTTATTTTAAACAACGTTTTTTTTAAATCTGCAAATGTTTTTTTTTTGTGTGCATGACAGATGCGTATTTCGACTACAATGTGCAGTCTCCTTATTAGAGAATTGTATAGATTTTTCTCCTTTAGTTTACTTAAATCTTCGGTTTTTATTAGTTAGGTAGGTTCCGATTCAACACATTGTAGTTTCATTTTCATACCTGTGATCTTGACTTTATCGCCTAGGAGCGGATAACATTTTTTGATGTTTTATTTATTACATGCAATATAAATTATTGCATTTACAATAAATCGTATTGATCACACCGATAAAATATCCATAAAATTTATTGTTTCCAGACTGGGATCAATGGTAAATTGAGAAATCAACAACAGAACAAGGGGGTTGTTATTTAAGTGACGAACCAGCCACTGACTGAAAGTCACTCTAATAAAGAAGGGGTTGTTATATATCTTAACCATACAAAAATCAATTGTTCCAGAACAAACTTAAACCATTTCTCATTAATGTTATGGTTTTTCTATTTTTGAAAATTCATACTATATGCGACGTATCGTAGATCTATTGCAATAACAATATTTCAAATTTACTTGCATAGCAGCGCCGGTGGTGTAGTGGTAAGCGTGATTACCTCTCACCCCAGCAGGCCTGGGTTCAATCCCAGTCGTCACCGCTGTAGGAAAGTGATGCTGTGTAATCATAATAATATAAATAATAATAAAATATGAATTAGCAACTAAAAGTAAACTTACTGTTTAATCACATCTGTTTGTGTCCTCCGAAAATTGGGTGATTACGATTGGTTGACGGCTTAATCAGTAGCAAAGCAAATACTATAAGAGCAAGCATTATCATTTTCCCGTCATTCAATTGACGGACGGCGAGGAGAGCACATCTCCATAAAAGCAGCAGCGGTGCCCCACTCGGGCTCATTCAATTGACGGACGGCGAGGAGAGCACATCTCCCTAAAAGCAGCAGTGCCCCACCCGGGTTCATTCAATCGGTAGGCAGCAACCGCTTTGGCCAGCTGAGGGTTTTTCTGAGTTTACCTCACTGCGATCTGCAATCCCCATTCAGCGAACTCCCAGTATACCCAGACGGTGCCACAATCGTGGCGGATCTGCTCGGCGGACGGAGAGGAAAGCAGCAGCCGTGGCCGACGAACAGTGAGCGATACGCTTCGGCCAGCTGAGGGTTTCCTTGAGTTTACCTCACGGCCCCAAAGCGATCTGGAATCACAACCCAGTGGTCATCCGGACAGTACTGGGCGGCGGGACACCCAGTAAGGCTCCCTCAGACTTGAGACATCCCACACCTGACACCATGGAGCAACACCATTTTGTGAAGGCACCCGACAGGCCCGCTGAAAATCACGACAACCGCCAGGATGTTCTGAGACATAAGGGAAGTAAAGCCGTTGGTCCCCGGTTCATGAGTTGATGGGTCGATAGGTAGGGTTCAGGTGTGGTAGCTGCCGTTCTGGCGTCGGTAGCATTGGTGCTCACCACGGAAAAAAAATCAAGGAAGAAAAAAATACTTGCTACTAATACTAATACATACCATAAGACCGATTGTTGGCAATAGATTTTGTTGTGAATGTATATTTGAATGTAATTGTATGGTTATTTTTTTTCCGGGCTGCTGGCTACTGCCGGAATATAGGATCACATCCCATTTTTAAATTTATTTACTAGTAAATTGGGTTGCTTAACTTCGAAAAATATACAGATTTTTATACATCATCTGATAGAGCTGCGTTTTTTTAGCACAAAGATATTTTTATCAATCCCGTAGATATTCATCTCGATTTTTAAATCAATATTTTAATTTTTGATCGATGACACTAAATCTATTCGTTGACAGCCCGCTCCCATACAAAGTCCCACCGAGGGGTGCTAAGATCGTGATTTTTGCTAATGTAATCGAACTTATAACGTGATGAACTAGCCTACGGCTACACATCCCGGTAATAAAGAAAAAAAATGTACATATTTAAAATAGTTTTAGTGTACCAATATTGATGAAATTTTGAATTTTGGTTCCATTTTTAATGCAGATAACGAATATGTATTAACCTCAATACCCCTAAACAACCCAATTGCTTTTTGACGTAATTACCTTCCGATCAAAATATTTTTCGATGTTACTTAAGTCACCCGATTTCTATGGAGATGCCGTTTGTTTTAAGTAACAGCGCAGAGAAACTCGTGAAAAATGTACGTTCGTCGTTTTGCTTTCTCATTATTAAAGTGAATAAATCGAACTGTTTGTTGATAAGAAGATTTGGTGGTCCTAAAATGTTGAATGGGCTGCAGGTAAGGAGATGTGATTGATAATTTTCCCGAATATCCTTGTAAATACACTTTGCTTAAGTAAAATTAGGGGGCCACCAAACGACGTGTAATAACTTTTGACTAAAAAACGATTAGCATGAAAGCTAGCGATCTGCTTTGTATGATTAAAACCCTGCTTTGTATGATTAAAACCCTGCTTTATATGTTGAACATTGCTATCACTATGAGATTATATGTGTTTAATTCCGAATAACTTTTCGGTCATCAAAACAAAACTTTATTTTTCTGGGATCGGTACGAATGTTACTTTAGACATAATGAAAATTTCCCTAATAAACAAATACCATAAACGAACTGTAAAACTGATGGGTAAACTATCCCAAAAATGGTTTGGATGATACCCCAAACACGTCGTTAAGATCTCTTTTATGGTTATTTTTTATTAGGGTTGCTCTTTAAATGTAATATAGCCATCCAGCCTATTGTATAGCTGCTCCATGTTCACTGCTTCACTTCTAAAAACTCACTTCCGAAAAATCACCTTTTCACAATTTCATATTGTCTGTTGCAGTGGTGACTGGATTTTTGGGAATATTTTAATATTTATTAATATATTTAATATTTATTTCACGCATAGAAAGCTATTGAGTTTAACACATTTGGAAACAAAAGAAGGTGTACCATTTGAATTTAAACACGTCTCAAAATCATTTTCAATCTAATTCATACTTGGAAAACCATATAATTGTTCACAAATAAGTAATTTAGAATTGTTTGCAAAATTGCAAGTATTTTGCAAAATTATTTTAACACGTGTTTCGAGTAGAATGCAATGAGAGTGTAAGATCTTGAAATCAAAACAACAACAAAAACCAAAACAGACACTTTGTTGTTGTTTTGATTCCGAACAAAAATGTGTCACTTTGACAACTCTATCTTTCATACGCATGGCCCGCACTTATTTCATCCCCGCACTTTCAAAGTGTGGAGTCCAGTAAGTTGCAAAATGCGCAATCACATTTAGAATTTTTTACAGAAATCTGTAAAATTTTACCGAAATCTGAACAGCTGAACGTTCGGTTAACAGTTTTGCAGATTTCCTGTAATTTTTCACAAATATCTGCGAATTTTTCACAGATATCTGTAAATAATTACACACGGAGAGAAAACTATGGTAAAAACAACCATATTTTAGGTTGCTTCAACCAAATTTCCATGTCGAAAATTGCACAAACATATCTTTAGTTTACCCTGACAAACTTTGATGTTTGAAATAAACTAAAATGTGAGGTTGTTTATTGTTTCTGTT